GTAGGACTTCTAACACCTCCCTCTCAGTACTTATACTACTGATTTCATGATGGAGGTGACTACTTGTACCAAAGGCTAGCCATGAATATGATCATATTTGTCATGATGGTGGGGATGAAGAAGGTCAGAAGGAATATACATGTAATAACCACCTATTATATGCCAGACACTGTGCTAAGACCTTTACAAATATTATCTCATTTGATCCTCACAAAAAACCCAGAAGGTAGTGGATGTTATTATCCCCATATTAAAGATGAGGAAAACAGAGGTTAAGTGACTTGCTGAATTTGAACTCAGGTCTTCCTTACTCCAGGCACAGAGCTATTTCTGCTGTGCCTCCTAACTGTTTTACTCTAGAAAATTCATTCAGCACTGCTAACATGTTTTTAATTTAAAAGAAAAGTAAACTAAATACTTTTGCAGCAAACGCTATGCTTTCAACAGTAATTTTGGTTCATAAATTATTATACAAATGGAAAAGTTATGGTGAATATAAATATGAAATTATTTTCATTCCTATCTTTTTTGAGGGGGAGCAGAGAGAGTGTTTGCCTGGCACATAGTAAACATTTAAAATATTATTGATTGATCAATTAGAAATATTATTTTTCTTGAGGTGATTAATCTAAGAAAATCATAACTCATTTAAATATTATAGTTGACAAAACTTTTTTAAAGCAAAAAGGAGTCTATTTTAGATTGAATTAAAATAGTAGAATGGGTCAAAATCTGATAGAAGGGTGAAATGTAAAAGTACATGAGTAAAGATTTAGATTTATTGTTGTTTCTAGAAATAGTTCTTGAGCAATTTCGGTTCTGTTAGTAGATAAAAATCACATTTTGCAATTAATGTCAAGACCTTTGGAGACTTTTTATAGTACCCCCATCTGCTCACACCCTTCTCATATCCTCCTATTGGTATTGCATATCAGTGCAGCTTTATGATGTATGTGTTAATGTTTTGATGTCTCCTTTACAAGCTATAATTGTCTTCTTATGTTCAAACTGTTTAAAATGCATAAAATAGATGTTTCCTTGGAATTTTTAAGTCATATCAACACTCTAAGGCTATAAGTTGCAGGATAGGTGATGATCGACATAGGTGGAGAGACTTTTCTCATGGGGCATTTCCTCTAGCAGTGAAATCCCAGGTGCAGGCAGCCCTCTTCTATCCCATCCATGTTAGTGATGGATAGAGGCAGCAGGTAGGAGATGTATCTACTAATTTGGTTTGAATGCATTCCTACAATCATTTTGTTGTTGTTAAAAGAAGTTCTGAGAGCCAATGCTTGTGGGGAGGACGTTGTGCAGCTCACTTTCAGAGTAATTTTATGTAGATCATCACAAGAGTGGTCATAGAGTAATGGCATTTTAGCTACAACAACTCTAAAACCAGCTGCCAATTAATTCATAGACAAGGAATGTGATTTACGTCAGGCCACAGAGTAAATAGCTAATTTAGTAAACTGAAACTTGCTCCATTAATAATGATAATAATGATGATGATAACTAACATTTACATAGTGCTTACTATGTGCTGGTGACTCTGCTAAAAGCTTCAAGATTATCTTATTTGGTCCTCACAACAACCCTCAGAGGTAGGTGCCTTTATTATCCCCATATTACAGATAAAGAAACTGAGGCAAACCGGGGTTAAAGTGAGTTGCCTAGGGTCACACAGCTACTAAGAGTTTGAGGCCACATTTGAACTCATGTCTTAGTGGGAATTAAGTAGAATCAAAAATAAAAATGGCATGTAACGCCCAGACATTCAGTCTCTGTCAGTGAATAGCCTTTAGGAGAAAGACTTACTTGTCCACCTAAGTTATAAATGCTTCAAAAAGAAGTTTTTCTAACCTCTGGGCCTGAGTTACTTAAAAAGTAGCTCCTGGAATACTGGCTGAGGCAATACTTGTATATTCTACTAGGGGTGGAGAACCTGTGACCTGGAAGCCACATGTGACCTTCTAGGTCCTTGAGTGCAGCCTTCTAACTAAGTTCAAGTTTTATAGAACAAATCCTTTCATTAAGAGGATTTCTTCTGTGAAATTTGGATTCAGTCAAAGGACTGCACTTGAGGTCCCAGAGGGGCACGTGTGGCCTCCAGGCCACAGGTTCCGCACCCCTGTGACTAGTCCCTAACAACTCTAATTGGCAGATTCAGGATGGGCTTTTGAAGCTCTTTCCTCATATATTAGTGCTCCATTCCTTCTTATATCTGTTAGACCTATGAGAATTAATGAGATTATAGTAATTCCTTCTCATGTTTTATACCTCTCCTACATTTCCTTGGCCCTTTTATTGAAGATTAGGAAAAACGGATCAAGCCACAGCAGAATTCAGATGGTTTTATTCTGTGCCAAGAAAGGAGTTTCGAAAAAAGCAGCTCAATGGGCTATTATAAAGGGAAAAAAGAAGTATTTGACTTAGAGAACTTTCAGAAAAATGTAGCTTCTGTCACCTAGGTGTTCTTTTTGGACTTGACTTTGCTGATGCATGACAAATTAGCCCAAAGTATGCCATAACTCTGCCGCTACTGGCTTTGACTGAGAGAATTGGCAAGGGATATGTCAGGCAAAGCTCATCCTTTGAATAATACAGTTTAACTTTGCCATTTAAGGGTTATGGTACTTACTTGAATGGATGACTCATCAAGGCAATAAGAGTAGACCTGACTAACCTAACCCTCCAGGAATGCAGCTTGATCTATGTTGAGAAAAGTTTTGGGGATTCCTAATTTGTTATGAATTCATTTTGGTTTAATTTAATAAAAATTTATTGGGAGCCCACTAAGTACTCAGCACTGTGTCAGGTGATATGGAGGACACAAAAGACAGGCAAGACACATCACCCGGCACAATGCTGAGCACACAGTGGGCATTTATTCTCCACTTCAGGTGGGGAGGTAGCATACAAAGTTATTACATATCTGTATAAAGGAAAAATGGAATACAGCCTATTTCTACTTCATCACTCTAGCCCAGATTCTTCACGTATCACTCCTAGGTTATTAAGCTTGCCTTCTAACCAGTCTGGCCCCCTCAGATTCCTATACACTAATCCACACCCCTAACAAAATACTGTAAGTGACTTCTGACTCTAGAATCAAAGGTTGTCGCTGTGGTTGTTGTTTAGTCGTTTCAGTCATGTCTGACTCTTTGTGACTCCATTTAGGTTTTCTTGGCAGAGATACTGGAGTGTTTTGCCATTTCCTTCTCCAGCTCACTTTACAGATGAGGAAACTGAGGCAAACAGGATTAAGTTATTTTCCCAGGGTCACATAGCTAGTGTCTGAGGCCAGATTTGAATTCAGGTCTTCCTGACTCCGGGCCCGACACTCTTTCCATTGCAGCATCTAGTTTAAATTCTGTCACTGATACTTACTAGATGGATGACTCTAGTCAAATCATTTCACTTCACTAGACTTGATTTTCTTATCCGTGAAGAGAGGAAATTGGACTAGGGGGCCTATGAGAGGCCTCTAGTTCTAGATCTATTTATGACTATATGATCCTCATTAGGTTCGTGGTAAAGTCCAAATTCCTTTCCCTGACATTCAAGGACCTCAATGATCTAGATCCAACTTAATTTTTTAATTTTATCTCCTAATACTAAAAAAACTATATAAATCTTTATGAGGCAAAGATGTCTGTTCATTATACCCTAGAACATACCTTATAATTTCTAACCTCCATGCTTTTGTTCACATCTTAACTACAGAGGAAAAAGCCCTGACTCTGGAGTCAGAGGATCTGGATTAAAAGTCTGTCTCTAATGATTAACTGCTGTCTGACCTTGGGAAAGTCACTTAGCCTCACTGGGCCTCAGTTTCCTCTTATATGAAATGAGGGAGTTGGACTATGTTGCCTTTGATGTCCCTTCCAGATCTTACAACTATGATACTAGGACCATTCGTGGAATACCTTCTTCCTACTTTTCTGCTTATCTAAATCCTGCCCTTTCACCAAAGCCCAGCTCAAATATCACTTTTTATCTTAACCTAATCAAACTGGAAGTGATCTGGCCCTCCACTGAGTGAGTGAGTGAATGAATGAATGAATGAATGAATGAATGAATGAATGAATGAATGA